CCCCAAAACCCCAAAACCCCAAAACCCCAAAACCCCGCCAATTTTCATAAATATTGAAAGCCAGGCAAGTAAAAACTTACAGGATTTTGTTACAGTAGTCAGTTAGCCATCCTCTAAACATCTCATTCTCTGCTTAACTCCATATGGCGCTATGAGAGTGATCTTGATAAAGAGGGAACATCCTACATTCTACTTTCAAGAGAACCAGATCGTATTATAAATGAATTTATAAGATTAAAAGTCAAACTGAACTACAGCTTGTTCTTACTAAGACAGCTTTCCCAGTTCAAATATGCAGATTGATAGAAGAGAGTGTAGCCAAAGAGGTTGGCCAAATCAGCGTGTCCTTCAATAGGCTCTAGACCTTGCTTTTTCTTATTGAAAACGATTCCAACTGAAACAACAAGAGAGAATGGGTATTAGGTGTCTCTTCTATGCTCCAATGATGACTCTTGGAGCAAGCACAAAACGAAAACCTGAGTTAGTCAGAAAAATTGGAGATGTAAGGAGATAAGCATTTGTATAAAGTCAATAAAGGAACTAAATGATTATCACAGCCTTAGTAAGCATATAATTAAAAGGATCATTTCTGGACTTGTGAAGTCTCAATTCTTAAAGCACTTTGCATACAATGCTTCATAGTTAAATTTCTGAAAATTCAAAGTCCTCTACAGTTATACTTCTGGCTTCCTTCAAAATCAAAAGCTTCTGTTCTCTTCTTAGCATCTGTAGGAGCATAAATTGAGGATATAGGTATTGTTTTACACTGCTGATCTTAAGAAAATTATGGTGAAAAAGAGTCATCTGTTTGTAAAAGAGGAGCCAGTCTTCATATAAACTTATACTACAAAACACTAGAGATTCTAAAGTAGCTTGTTGGGCCTCTCAATTAAGACAGCTCAGAAATGAGACTTGATCTTTAACATGAACAAAAGCTCAACCTCAAGCAATATGCAAAGGATACATTCCTGATTTGTTATCTAAAGAAACGCTGATATTCTTAATCCAATTTTTACAATCCCATTAAGTGGTATCTAGCCTTCTTCTTGGACAATTGGGCTCCCCAGTTTAAATGAGAGCATCTGTGATTGTTCTGTTGATTTCAGCTTAGCTATAACATTTTTAGACTCAAAAGAGGAATTTTTAGTCAAGATACATCGAATATTCCAAATCCTGGATAATGCAGTTGTGCATCAAAGCAAAGCTGTGAGAGAAGTGAGTCAAAATAGTGGGCTCAGAGTATTTTTGCTCCTCATCTATGGACATAAGTCTACTCAGCATCACGATCCTCTTTGTAAACACCAAGTCCAAGCTCAGAAAATTTGAAACAATTGAAAGCATAAATCTGAGAATTTAAGAGAAACTACCAAGACAACGGGGAGGGCCTAGAATGTCCAAAGAGATGAAGCTATCGGATACTGACATACTGAATGAATGGAATAGAAAAGAAAACAGATAATCGACTTCTTGCATAGGCTCATACCGAACCATTCAGTTATGAATAGGCTTGAATAAATAATTTCACTCAACTAGAATTTTCAGTTATCCAAGTCATCCAATATTTAAGATTTCTTTCACTAATAATTGAATTTATTCAAACGGAAATCTCAAAATCTCCAAAGATACGCAATTAGTTTTGCCTTGTGACTTATAAGGAAGAAAACGGAGAACACCCTAGAAAGTAGGGTTGTTAAACCCTTCGCCTTTTGTATGTAAAATAGCGGATGCTGATTAGAACAGTTCAATCAGGACGCTCGAACCTTAAGAATGATATCCAGCCTAAGCTTCTACTTCTCGCATGAATGCATCCTTGAAGTTATATATTTTTAACTGTCAATAAGTGAGGTTGAGTTAGGGGTTTTGGGGTTTTGGGGTTTTGGGG